TTTATCGAGTTCTGTATAGTGGAATACTACCCAAATATATCTAGCTGGAAAGACAACAACATCTTTATTGCTGAGTGGATTTCTAGTTTTGGGAATAGCATTCACTTCAAAATGCACAAACACCACCATAACTCGCGACTAATTATATAATGACACTGGTGTTTTCGAAACTGGGTACGTTTTGGATTAAGGTGTAATACTGTCTCAGATGATGTTTATCATTAATTGACAAGTCGTATCTCCAAAATCAATTATGTAAATTTCGAATTTCTGACAATAAAGTACATGTTGAAACTGACAGATGAAAACACAACACACTCCTCGTCAAAAAGAGTTGTATTTACTCCGACTAAATAAAATACGACTGTCGTGATTGTCTGTGTGTTTCACTGAAAAAAAAACATGATAGTAATGCCCAGATTAACAGTGTGTATAAAGAAGGTCGTTGGTTGCCATTAATATATATAATTTCTTATTGCTTGTTCAGTACCATTTTCTTTGTAACAAAAAACCAATGCAGTCTATTATTGTTTAATAGTTAATTCCACTTCGCAATAGAAAAAACAGTTTTTGTTTTTAGTATGTTAAAGGTTGGTCGGTAATGCGTATATATTTCACTTTCAAATCAGATTTGTGTTATTCATCATTACAATATTGACTTTGAATTGGGCAATGTGTTTTTAGAAAAAAAAACATACTTCATCCACAAGCATACCGAGGTCTGACGGGTTTTTCAACCATGCTTCTAATATGAAATATTTGAGAAAAGTTTAGAACAAAGCTGGGAACAAAATCATAAAATCGTAAGCAATGTAGTGTTCACAAAACGTCGAGAAACAAGACAAAAATACTTTGTGTACGTACCTTATTGAAATATGAGCATTTCCACCATTGCGTCGTTTTCGAAAAGTAGTAGTGGCTGTAGTTACGAGGAGATACATGTGAAACAAAATCTTCTTTTTATTTAAGCGATGGCGTACACAATTATTAACAATGATGGCACAATGATTACGTATGTACATTAACAAATGAAAAATTCGACGAGGGATAAGTCCCGTATAGAATACAAATAATAATGTAATGTTATACCGCACGACATTTGTACACCCTGGGGTTGTTCCGTACATTTACTTTTCAGTGATCTTTAATTTCCGGTGATTTTCCATATAAAATGCTGTTCCTTATGGCAAAACCGTAGTTTTGATTGTATATGACAGTTTTTGGCATATTTTTATCTATATCTAGTGCATACAATATGTCAGCAGACATGAGTGATGCCCGCCGTATAACGTAGACAAAAACCATCCCCGACTCAGAAAACGAAGCTACCATTCATCGAGTCGGGTGTGGTAAATTATTGGCGGATAGTACCCGGAAATTTACTCAGAACTGACGAGTTATACAACTCACCTGATGTGACATATGCAATGAGGTTATGTTCACACACGCCGTCACCGACAGATCAACAGACCAATTGCTTATCTGAAGTACATGGACGTTGTAGCACAATTGCCCTAGAAGCGTATAATTATCAATAATGGGAATAATAAAGAGAATAATATGATACAAAAAATAGTTTATAAACGAAAGCAATCAGAATATATAATGGCCAAATGGTTTCGTTCTACCGAGTTGAGTACAATATCCATCATTACCCGGGGAAGTTCGTAACTGGGTAGATTTTTCTGACAATGATTATACTAGATTTTTGTGTGTGTGGAATTTAATTGTTTGTGATGTAAGAGATTCGAATTGAGCATGTCCAACTACAGCGCATTCACTACTCGCTACATTATGTTTGGGGGCAGTGCGACTGGGAAGCTCGTCTGCTTACAGTGGCGAAGGACATTTGCCAAGTTTTCAGTGTGATTGTCTTGTTTCATCTTTCATGGTCGTTAAATATGCCTGTCATTTTTATTGCTTAGATGCACTGTTCCTCACTGTATATTGGACATGTTTGACAATGTAGAAGTTCATAACGGGGTAGGTCGTTCTGACCATGTATATAACTTCGATTGTGATTGTGATATGTGATTTCAGAAAATAGAAAACCTTGTTTAAGTTTGTTTTAATTTGGGTACTCGACTCATTGTCTCCATATTGCATAATGTATGTAGACTTCTCTCCGCAGCTGTTAAATGGCCCTTTCTCGTTATTATTAAAAGCGCAAGAAATCAAGGTACAATTACAAATGTCCAATTTTCATTGCTAAGATTTATGTGATTAAACGACGTGCTAAATTCGTGCTCCTAGATACGTTTATACACGACAAATTAATGAAAACGTTAATGGATTGTTCTATGGAGATGCATGATAAACATACTTGCGGCGGTTGGCAAATTGTCCATTAGGAAATAGTAAAATTCAAACGTAATGTATTTATGGTGGGATAAACAAGCTTGGTTAGTCTTGTATTTTGGTAGCATATTGCTTGAAAGGAAAAAAAAATATTTCGCACTTTGGCATGCTTCTTCAAATTTGACTTTAGACTAACTGATACAGATATAAACTGAGAAACATTCCCTTCATATTATGTGGAGCCGTTTGTTATTCTAATTTATGTTTGTCAAGTTTATTAAAGAGAGATAGTCGCCGCGTCGCGCATGTGCGACATTTGTGTTAATAAACAATGATTTTCCCACAATCAAATACGCTCTTCTAATGGAAATCACAAGTACGAGTTTTGACCTGGGCGCGACATGCACTAGTTATAGCCGGTCATTCCTTCGATACTTTCCAATCACCTTGGTAACGTCTCAGCTTGTACTCGAACAGTCAAAGTCGCTATCTCTGTTTATATGAGACCCATGTCTCG